AGACCGTGTGTGACTAGAATATGACAAGTCGTAAATGTCGCACAAATGCTCACTCATTTGCAGCATCTGCAAGATACATAGATACATCGACTCACTGCTCGCTGCTCGCTGCTCGCATAAAATCAATAAACAAAACGAGCTTTGAATAACATATCGCTCAATAAACATAAATTATAATTTATTAAACCTTTGCCACGTTCTCCTCCCATCATTTCCATTCCCATTCCCATTCTCATTTCCATTTTCAATTTGGTTTCAACAAATTGAATTCGATTCATTTGTTTATTTTCGTAGCTCTGTATCTTCGCCATGGGACTCCCTGCCAGGTCTATAGCTTGCTTAGCTACAAATTTCAGTCTATCACGGAAAATATAAAAAAATAAAAATAAAATAAGATCTTCAATGTGAAATGAAAATTAAAAGCGAATGATATACTATTTACGTGTTGATTTTTGATGTTTGCTCATTAAAAGACGCGCCGGGCAACTATTTTAAATATTTTAATTATTCGCATATTCAAATGTTTATAACATTTTTTCAGCTGCGTGGGCGATGCAGCGACACGGCGCGACGACGGCAGCGGCAGAGGCAGCAGCAGCGTCGTTCGCTGAGGTAATTTTAAAGCATTTTTAATTGCTGCCCGAGTCTGTTAATCGCTGCCAGACCAGCTGACGTCTGAATTTTGTTTGTTATTTTTCTTTTCTTTGAGGCTATTACGAATGGCACTGGGTCTAGCACAGAGACCGGGGTTAGTTCTAGCTAAAACTCAAGCTGATAGCCTCTTGGCAGCGACTTCAACCTTCACAACTTGCAACATCATTTGGAAAAATATGAAACGGGCACAACACGAGCGTGTGTGTGTGTGTGTGTGTGCGTGTGTCCGAGTCATGTGGCGTTTTAGAGATGATTGTGAAAACACTACACTGCATCGAGCATACAATGAAAGACAGAATGAGATAGATAGAGGAAAGGGGAGGGTAAATGGCAGCCCACATTTACTACGAACTGCAAAGACGACAGCGTCAACCATTTGAAACATGAGCCTCGTGAGTGCTGATAATACTCGAATAGACACACATACACACATACATACAGAGAGACATATATTTATACATACAGCACGACTGAGTGTGAGTGACAGAGGGGGAGGGGGGACTCGCTAGTAACAGGGCTGGCAGAGCAGAAGCCATCGAGCCATGTACAATGCCAAATAACAATGCGCTGATATTACATTTCATTGTCCATTATTCATCATCCATCAATTATGTTATGACTGTTAATGTAAATGAGACCTCAAAAACAGGCGCAAGCCTAATCTCCATCTGAAAGTTCTAACTCCGGTATTTTGTAATTGGGAATGAATCATACTTCAATTCTGAATTCAATTTGAATAATAATAAAAACTCTTAATGAAATATATCTGAGATAAGCTATCTGGAGATTGCAAAAATTAAAAATGAATTTTCAGGCAAAACAAATTTTTAGAGTGGACCTTACCAGAAATATTGTAGTATATATTTTCTCCATTAATATCTCAATTTCTCTTCTGCTATACTCCCCCCTCCCTCCATTTTAAGAAAAAGAAAAGTTTGCATTTCATTTTTGTTTGCTCAAATTAATTATTTATTAATTTGCTTATCGTGTTTTCCTTTTATATTATTGTTTTCTTCAAGGTTTTCTTATGCATGCGGCCCAATATATTTATTAATCATATCGAATAATATACTATATTGAATTCAGTTGATAATATGCTACAAATCAGATGGTTTATACAATAATCATATCCTCATATATATATATTTATATGTATATTATAATATATATATGTCCTGGCATTAGTTAGGGTTTTCAGTTGGATAATTTACATAAATCGATTGACCTGACAGCTAATCCATATATATTTATAGGTATACAATTATTAAATGCTATATATCTATATATATATATATATATATATATATCTGTTATGTATATAAATTCATGTACAATAGTTAAGCAGCTAAGATTTGAAAGGAAAACCCAAATGCTCGTTTGGAAACTTGGAGTGCATAATCAATCATTGAATAAAACTACTATCACATTTAAATAGATGTATCTATGTATATCTATATATGCATATATTTATAAATATGATATTTGAAAACTATAGAAACTAAATATGTATATTATTATTGATGAATACACGCAAAGCAGATGTGAAAACTTGTCGCAAATTGTTATTTAATTCAATATTTTTTGTTAGTTTTTTTTTTATTTTTTTTTGTTTTCTTTCAGCTTTGGCAATTCTTCAGCTCTCCCTCTAGCTCTCCCACTCAATCCGCTCGGCGCCCTCTCTATATGAAATTCCATTTTAAATTTAGCATATTTTCTATTTTTATTTTCATATACGTACATATATAAACAATAAAAAAAAAATGGAAATTAATGCATATTTAAACATTAATTTTTGTTCACAGCAGAAATTTATAATAATATTTTTTTCATATGCATATGTATATATATTTAATTTTTAATTTTTTTTTTTTTTCATATCTTTTGTTTCTGTTTTATTATTTTTTTTTTAACATATTTTGCATTTTGACGCTCAATAGGTTTTCGTTAGTTCAGCGCTTAAATTTTTTTTTTTTTGTGTTTGCTTCATAAGTTATCGGGGCTCTCACCTCTGACCGCTGGCCATACATATACATATATATATATATATATATTCATATTCATATACTATAATTTGTTGATGGCCTAGTTAGTTTAGGTATATGCTTTGTTTCATGCTCTCTCTATGGAGTGTTTTTAGGGTATTTTTCTTATGACTGTCTGCATAGGCGTAGTTGGTTTCTTGTCTAATTACTATATAGTTAGTTGCATTATATCGTCATCTCTATAGATATATTTATATATATATAATATGGTATATACTCTTGTTGTTGTTGTTGCTGGTGTTGTTGTTGTTGTAAGTCACAATATGGTTGGCTAATTTATATGTAGATTATCATATATGCATATGTGTATGTTACGTTAGTGTTTAATGTTAGTTCCATAACTGCTTTTAAATGTTGATACGTAAATGAAAAACCCAAAAACAAAAACAAATATCATAACATATAATTTATTTAATTTGCGTGCGCGGCTTCGTTAAGTATAGATCATGTACTATAGATATACATAAATGTATATGTGTATTGTATTGTTTTCTTAATTGCTGCTTTTCAAATATGATGTGCTCATATGCTACATATACTCTATATACACATACATATATGTTGAGAATATATATTATATATACATATATATATATCCTTCTCTGTAACTGTATTTGTAGTATACCCCAACTGCACTTAATGCTTTTGAATTTTTTATTTTTATTTTTTTGTAATTTTTTTTTTTTTTTTTTTTTTTGTATTTTGTTAGTATTTGAGTTTTTCTCTAGCTAGTTTTACACTTTTTATATTTATTTGTAACTATTCGCTTGTTGCTCAGTGTAAAGTTTTTAGTTCAACTTTTAATCGTAGGCCTTTGCGACCTTCCCTCTCCCTCACACTCTCCTTAGCTTGGGCAGTTTAAGTGTTTTGACTTTGGCTGAGCTGCTCGCTAAGTATGAATAATATATATTTTTTCTGTTTTTTTTTTTTACGACTTTTGGGCCAGCCAAAAGTGCAGCTCTACATAATTAATTTTGATTTGTGTGTGTGTTTTTTTTTATTAAATATTTTCAGGGTCTCTCAGCTCAAGCTAAATGTCGCAATTTGAGGTTAATTGGGTATTTCGAAATTCAATTAAATTTTGCATTGGGTGGCTCAATTTCTAAAGAAATAAAATAAAATACATAAATTAATACGAACTCATATTTGATCGCAGCTCTGACTCATGCATATGTGAAAATCCGATTATAAAACACCAAATCAAAGTCAAATTTCTATTTTTTTGTCTTTATTTTTATAGCATTTCTGGGCTTGACCGCAAATTTATGGCCGAGCTGTGCTTGGCTCATCCTAATGCCTTAATTTAGACTTTATTTTTAATTAATAATGCATTTTATTTTTTGTTAATTTATTTAAAGCCGCCTAAATTGCTCTGCCGCATTTCCACCTGCACAGTCACGCATACAAATTATGCTAATTAGTTACAGCAACTAACGATTCGCCTTTTTCTCTCTTCTCATTTTTTCTCGCTTTTTATACAATTTAATTAAGCTTATTAAAACTGTCACTAACTAAAACACAAAAAAAAAAGTTAAAAAAATAAATACAAATTCGTTTGGCATAAATACATATTTAATTGTAAATGCGGTACTTAATTTACAACTTTAATTAATACTGAAAAGCTTTTCGAAAAAGTTTGCTGTCATTAACGAAAAACCCGAAAGGGCGACAAAAAACATAAATAAAGATAAATTATTTATGTATTTGTATATATGAAAAACGATTATAAATTTCAGGGAAACACGCATAGAAAATTTATGTATTTAAAACTGAAATTTAAATATGCATATTTACGAAGTGCTTTAATTAACTCACAAATCGGATCTTAGTCTGACCCCAAATTCATCCACTTGCAAGAGTGCGAAAAAATACGAAAAATGAATGAATGAATGGCACAAAAAAAAAAACAAAAACAACACACAAACTGGTTGCCCATGCGTCGGCGTCTCGTCGCGCTTACACGCTCAGTCACACGCTCGCTACATCTATGTCTGTCTCTGTTGCTCTGCTCATAAACTTGGGCTTTATGACCAGCCTCAATGCGACGCGGCATCCCTGTAATGCTCATGCTAACCCGACCCGCATTCGTCACCTGCTGCACCCACACACACACACATGAGCAAACGTACTCCCGCACACATTCACAGACACCGTTTGTTAGACAGCTTCCTCTGTCGACGTCGTTGTCCGTCTTTGCTTTTCATTTTGCGCTCTACTTCAGTTTTTATCGCATTTTTGTTGTTGTTGGCGGCGCTTGCTCTGCGTGCCTCTGTGTATATATACATATGTGTGTGTGACTTTATATTTGTTTTTTTTTTTGCTGGACTTTGTTTAATGCGCTTTGCGTCATTTCATTTTGAACAATTTTCGTGCGTTTTTACTGTTTGCATTTTTCAGCTTATATTTAAAAATAGCTAATCATCTCTGTGCATGTGTGACTGTGTGTGTGTGCTTAATTTGATTTTGTATGCGCGCTTTGGGTGCCGTTTTATTTGCGTGGTTTTGTTTTTATATTTGCTTTTTTTTGTATTTCATTTTTTCGCCTTTTATGTGTTTTTGGCTGGACCATTATTGAGTGTATTTATCTCTGTTGATGACTTTTAAATGGCACCTGCCTTGCTTTGACTATGGGCTAGGGGCTGGTGGGAGATACCGTAATAAATGCAAACGCAAAACCAAATAAGCCCACATATTAATTAGCATGTAAATACAGAAGAAAGCTGAAAGAAACAAATTTCTGCCTATACGAACTATTCATTCACTGATTAATTACCAAAAAAGAAAAAGACCCTGGGGCTACGTAGTCACACACAGGTGCTGAGCTCATTTCTATATTAATAAAAATACAATAACTGAAAATAAAAATAATAAAAGTGAACACTTGAATCCTCGAGTGCTACACTTGAGAAACATGCCCATTATCTTTGAAGATTTGCCTTAAAAATACAAACAACAGTCCACTGGAAAGTGCAGCTTTTGTTTGATTCCAATTTAGCTAAAGCTCAAGCACCTTCACACACACATGCACTAAGTAACATGCATGCACCCATAGAATATGATGACAACGACCTCGCACTGAATGAAAGAGACTGCAAGCGAGGAACAGAGAGGCAATAGATGGGAAAGACACAGACAACAGTGGGCAGCAGCTGATATTTTGCCCAATTTCAATGGATTTCACTGTTTGGATATCGTAATTTGTAATGACTGTCAATTGGCATTTATGTATCTACGGCATTCTAATCTATATTCGAATTAGAAACTAATAGATTGCAATCATTTGTCAGACTAAAACAACATACAAAGTGAACATTTTTCTGCTTGTCTGTCTAATTGTTTCTCTTTTTAAACAAGATTTGATGACGCTGCTTTCTATATAGTATGCCATATAGTACACATACATACATATACATATACATATAAATACTACTATAATTGGAACTGTGGTCCACATAAGCAGTCGCGGCCAGTTCCTGTCTCAGTTTTTGTTGTTTTCTTGTCTTGTTTTGACATGAGTGCAGACTCGTTTGAATTTAGGGCAGAGACTAAAGTGAATCATGTGAATGGATTCGCTTTAACCGAGTCACAAATCAAATGGCTAAACGAGTCCACTTTTGGTCAATGGGAAACGGATGTCGTTTTCTGCTTTACGCCTCTCGCTCTCTCTCTCTCTCTTTATCTTTCTCTATATATTTCTTACTTGAGTGAAGCATTTTGTTTAATTGAATCGACAGCTGTTTTATACATACATATGTATATAAAAAAAAAATAAAAAACAGAGATGAGTAGCCCTGTTTTCATTTGGCCGGATCTCCATAAAATTCGATTTTGTAAGCAGGAAATTAGAAATTGAATATGTTGCGAAATACGTTAGGAAATTTGTCAAGCTATCAGGCAAACGAAAATATTTGAATTTAATTAAATGATATGATTTCACGGTTTATCGCACGGACAGCTGAAAATGCTCTGCATGGTCGCATAAAACTAATCTCTGTAAACATAAAGCGATCATTATTATTATGTGGGCTGTGCTCATAATTAACGACTTTGACTGCGACCTCCCTGCTTTTCAACCACTGTGCGTGCACGGCAGAGCTGGAAAGTCTTCCATCAATGACAACAATCAATCACAGCGACAGACGGCGCGAGGGATGTGGAATGCTGGATGCGGAGAGGGAAGAGGGAGTTGACACCAAAATCGAGGCATAGCATGAGGCGAGCTAGAAATCAAATTAAAGCAGCTCACACAGTGACAACAGCAAGGCGAAATAAAATAAAGTGTAGAAGAAAAAAGAAGAAGAAAAACTAGAAGACAGGCGACAAACTGTAAAATAATCCAACAAAGTACCGACGGCAAATGCCGTTACTGCGCTCTTTTGCGGCAGTCAAATCGAATGCTTAACTGCAGCCTGGTCTCTCTCGCTCTCATCATCTCTTTCTCTGTCTTTGTTACTGTCAATTGAAAACACAATTTGCTACATTTTAGTTTTAATTTGTTTTTTTTTTTCTTCGCATATTTCGCTACGAGTTACGTCGCAAAATTTGGGAATACATTTTATTTTCATTTTAATATGTTTGCACTTTGTATGTGTATGTGTGTGTGTTTTCTAGCTTCTTCTTCTTCTTCTTCTTTCATTCATTCCTTTAGTTAAGAGATTTAGCATATTTTCTTCATTTTACTTTGACTTGAGTAATAGCATGGGCTGTATTTGTTGTTGTTTATAATAATAATTAAATAAGCATATGTTTTAGTTTTTAGCATTTCATTTACTTGTTATTATTGTTGTTTTCTTGTTGTTGTTGTTGTTGGTTTACACGCATTGTGTTTAGATTTGTTGGTTTTTCCTTGTTTAATTTAAATTAAATTAGTTACTAAAATTATTTTATAACAAATATCACTACAATAGTTTGCATTTTTTTGTTTGTTTTTTCATATCTTTTCTTTTCTCTTCTTACTTGTTTGTTGTTTATCGAATTACTACAAATTACATTTTAAAAAAACAAGTAATCTTTAATTATTTTTTCTGTTTTGGGCTTTTTGGCAACAATCGTTCGCAGCTAATTTAGTTATAAATCAATAATTAAATATTTATTGACTTGTCAATTGCCTGGGCGTTAATACGAAACACTTTTCAATTTAACATTAACATTTTGTATGACAATAAAAAAAATGGCATGATTTGAACTTTAAAACAAAATTTCTTATCTTTTTCTTTTCAGTTTATCACAATTGCAATTCTGTTTTACTCTTATGTTCTCATGTTCTCAAATAGAAAGCGAAGCAAATCAGATGCCGTCGCTCACGCACACTGCACACTGCACTAAGCGAAGCTTTTTTCGGGCCTCTAAGCGTGTTGTCATACCTAAACTAATGCATAGACATAGATACACATATGCACATGCATATGCTTAGAGCACCGTTCATTTGTTTTTGCTTTTGCTCTCTCTTTTGGCTATGCACGTTTCTTTTTATTGTCATGCCATTCGTTTCGTTTACATGCTTAACACCAGGCACATTGCAAGCCCTACAGTAAAACAGGATACAGTGAAAGAATAAGAGAATAGTATAACAGGATATTCAAAAAGCGTTTTGCAGTTACTTTTCTTTTTCTTTCTTTTTCTGTTTTCTACGTCATTGACGTTTACTTGGTAAGCGTCTGTCTCAGTTATTGTTGTTGTTGCTGCTGCTGCTGTTGCTGTTATTGTTGTTGGAGGAGGATCACACGTTGTAGCAGGAGATTTGCTGCAGTTGCTGGAATGTTGGCGCTGCCGCTGCCGTCGCCGACGTCGCCGCCGTTCCGAAGGGCACAAACGAAGCCGGACCCAAGTTGGCGCCGGCCGCTGCTGCTGCGAGGGAGGCGGCCGCCGCCGCTGCTGCTGCGTAGGGATGCATGCGATGCTGCGTGCGCAGATATTGGCGGTATTTGCCACTCAGCTTGTCTGTCGACGCCGTGGGCGGCAGCCGGTGCATGGGCGTGGCCTCAGGACCGGCCTGATAATTGCTAGGAACAGTGGCCATCGGCGAGCGGTCAATGAGCAGCGCAGTCGCCGCCGCTGCCGCCGCATCCCAAGGCGCCACAGGCGGAGGCAGGCAGTGCTGCTGTTGCTGCTGCTGGTGCTTGACAGTGCTGCTGGCGTAGCTGTTGCTGTTGCCGCTGCTGCCCGACAGCAAAGCGTCCCGTTTGCCGCCGGTGTTGGCAGAGGCGGCTGCATTGCTGCTTTTTGCCGAATACAGCGACGCCGCATGCTGCAGCTGCTGATGCGTATGCGTGTGTGGGTGCGAGTGTGTGTGTGGGTGGGAGTGTGTGTGCGCGTGTGGGTGTGAGTGTGAGTGCTGCTGCTGCTGTTGCTGGTGTGGCGTCAGCGCAGCGGCCAATTGCTCCCATTGACTCGACGCCGACGTCGCTACTGCTGCTGCAGCTGCCGCTGCTGCTGCGGCGGCTGCGACTGAGTTGGCTGCTGCGTGGCTTTGGCTTTGGCTTTGACGACTTTGGTTGCGATGTTGCTGTTGTTGTTGCTGCTGTCGCAGCTGTTGTTGCTGTTGCTGCTGCTGCTGCACTGGATACAACGCCTGCTGCGACATTTGTGACATTTGCTGCTGCTGCTGTTGCTGTTGCTGCCGCAGCTGCTGCTGGTAGGCTGCCTGTCGCTGCTGCTGCTGCTGTTGTTGCTGTTGCTGCTGTTGTTGTTGCTGCTGCTGTTGCTGTTGCATTTGGGTCTTGCGCCGCGCTGCACTGCTGCTGCTGGGCGCCGACGCCACTGTTGCTGCACCGCTGCCCAAAGCCGCTGCGCTGCTCACAGCACTGCTAGCAGCACTGCGCGCGCTCGCTGTTGCCGTCGCCTGCATATTGTTGACGAACGGGCTGCGCCGCTGCGACTCCATTTTGCGAAAATAGCAGGGATGGATCATCAGCAGTGGCTCCACGCGCTGCCCGGCGGGCGGCTTTGGCTGATTCGGCAGCTCGTACTCGACGCTGCAGTCGACGTGCAACGGAATGCTGTAGTCCTTGTTGCTGCTGACTGAGCTGCTGCTGCCACTGCTGCTGCTGTTGTTGTTGCCGCTGCTGCTGCTGGCGCCGTTGCCAGCAGCTGATGCTGTGACATTGCTGCCGCGCTGGCTGCTAGCAGCAGCGACCTGTGTCCCAACTGCATGACGTCCATTGTTGCTGTTGTTGTTGTTGGCGGGTGGCTGCTGTTGTTGTTGACGTTGCTGTTGCAGCAACTGTTGTTGATGCGCCGCAACTGCAGCGTGGTACATGTGCTGTTGTTGCTGTTGATGGTGCTGTTGTTGCTGCTGTTGCTGCAGCTGTTGTTGCTGCTGCTGCTGCTGTTGCAGCGCCGCCGACATGCTGTGCGAGAGAGACGACATGGAGGACATGTCGTAATTAGCATAACACGCAGCCATCGTCATTTTATACTTGTTGGTTTTTTTGTTCAACACACACAAGATTTAAAGCTTTATTTTTGTTTATTTACGCTTTGCTTAATTTTTCAGCATTTCATTTTTTCTTCTTCTCTTTAGAGCTTTTCACTGCACTTAGATTTTGACAATTTTGTAATTTTTCTTCTTTTCTTTCTTTTGTTTTTTTGTTTGAATTGGCACTGGTAATCCAAGAAGTGAGAAATAGACAGCGTTTAACTGTAATTAAAGCTGCTGTTTATCCGAGAGTGTGTGTGTATGTGTTTGTGTGTATAAGAGGAACGTTAATCCATATGTTGCTGCTGCTGCGGTTTTATAAATATTGTTTTTTATTTGGAATTTCTTTTCGGTTTAGTTTTGTTGATGTTTTATTATTTTTTGTAGCTGTGTCGCACCCGTAATTCAATTATTTTCCGTTTATTGTATTGTTTAATCAGTCTTGTTTATTTTCGTAAACTATTTAAGCTGCAAATTGAGTTTGTGTTTTGCTTGTTTGTTTTTTGTTGTTGGTTCAGTCTTTATTTATATGCAAAAACACGCGTGCAGTTTACAGTTTTATTTATCATACGCTAACGACAGGCGGAGATATTTGCCCGAACACGTCCGTTCACGTTGAGCAGCGCAAGCGAAATGAAACGAACGCTTCAGTGTTATTAATTTCTATTTCTTTTTTTTTTTTGAGCATTCAGCGCGTAAATCGGAGAGCGGTATGCTGAATCGGCAGAGACGTGCTGAATTGAGAGAGAGATTAATAACAGCTGTTTCACGACGCAAACGTAAATGTTAAGATGTTTGTTGTTGTTTTTGCTTTAGGACTATTTTTTTTTCTTTCGACAGTCATGCACAGACACATAAGTATGTGGATGAATTTTTGTTGTCACTTTATAAAATATTTTCCTACTATTATTCAATGCTTGATGCAATTTTCAATTTACTTAAATTGAAATAAGTTTATGATATTTGTTATAAGAAACACTTCCGAGTCCTGTTCACGCAGCTGTCTGCACGCGTCAAGCTCTCTCAAGCGACTGCCTCTCGCAGCGTGGCCCTTTTTGCTGGCCAGCATTTTACCTGCTGATGGTTATAGCTGCCGCACAGCTGATTGCCGACTGGGCCGTGACGTCGGCGCGTATTCAGCACTCACTCATACACACGCTGCTTTGTTATCGTTGCTGGAAACGCTTAAGCCAATTGCATTCAGTGGCTGTAACTGAAACACATGCCGCATCACATGTTGGCTCTCACTCTGTCTCTCTTGTATGCTCTGTGCGTCTGGCTATGTGAATGTGTGTGTGTCTGTCGGCTTAAGTGTTGGTGTCGTTTACAAATTCAGCTATATAATAGCCACGGCGGCCATCTTTACAACTGCTTTCGTGTTGTGCGAGAGAGCGACGTCGCTGCCTTTTTATTTTGTAATCATATTTCTGCTGCCATTCTCGCTCTTTTGAGCGTGCGTTTTAAGTGTTGCCCTGCTTTAATTTTTATGATTTTTTTATGGCCTCAGCCTGTGCGCAGTTTCAATTTTATGCGCTGCTTTGATCATTTATATGCTATCAAACTGTTGTTTGCTGCCATTTAATAGCCCTGGCGACAAGCTCTTGAGTACACACACATATCTCAGCACGTATGGATGTATGCATGGATATGCAATGTAATTTTAATATCTGCTCATAAATACATACAAATATACACAAACGTGCATATGACCAAATATTCCATTTCGCCTTGCATTTTCTATTCCCGTCTCACTGTTCCGCTTATATTCCAAAGCTTTTGCTTTGCTACTTTACTGCAATTTGCTGTCATCTCTTACATTTTTCTATTCGCTCATTCACTCTACATTATGTACAAAGGTGCGGCATTAAAATAAAATCCCAAAAAATGAAACTAAGGCAAAAGCAAAACAACAACAATAGTCACACAGCCAAGCAACGGCAACAGCAACGGCAGCGCCAACGACAGCTGCCCTGTTACAACAAAACCAACTACATGAAATAAAATTCAAACTAAGCCACACGGAAACTGCGCAATGAGCACAAAGATTTTCAGTGCAAAAGCTGCCAACCAGCAAAAGAGATTATGCCCCTTCTCCTTCTGGCAGACACAGAAAAACGAACAAAGCATAAGAAGCGACAGCACACACCAGCTAACAGCAGTAGCAGCAGCAGCAACAACAGCAGCGGCGTCAGTAGTAGCAGCAGAACAGCAACAACAGTAACGAGCCAGCATTAAACTTAAATGTTGCAGACATTTCTGCACTAAAAACTAAGCAATTTAAGTCAGCGCCTTCCGTTCTCCCTCTTTCGCATAAGCAACACCGTCATCATCAGTATCATCGACAACAACACTAACACCAACAGCAACAATAACAACAGCTACGGCGACGTCGTAGTCGTCGTCTGCAAGCACACATACTTACTTGCATACAGACACACACACACATACACAGTAGACGATTACACACATTGTAATAAATAAGGAAGGTCGTTGCCATAGCAGCAGCCGCAGTTGGCGTCGTTGTTGTTTCTATTTTTTTATTTCTCTACTTTTTGTTGTTAGTGCGCTGCTGTTGCTGAGCGTGAGAATTCAGCACTTGAGGCTTTGTGCTCTCTCATTCGGTCTGTGTGCGTCTCTGTTACTCTCTCACTGTCTGTGTGGTTATTCAGCGCTTTTGATAACAAATCAGCTGTTTCGTGAAATACTCATACAAACACACGCAAGTCGGCAATAATTTACGAGCGCCCGAGTGCAATTCAGAAATGGGGAGGTGTGTCTGTGTCCGTGTATCAATATTATTTCGATGTGTGAGTGCGCAACTGTCTGGGTATGTGTCTGTGTGTGAAGCTTTGTGAATTTGGCGTGCCTATTGTGGTTGTTGTTGCTGTTGAAGCATATGTTTTGTTTGCGTTTCTGTTGTTGTTGTTGCTGTTTGCTGTTTACTGACTGCCTGCTTGCGTGCTCAACGCCGAGTCGGCCGCATTACAGTTGATTATGGGACTGTTGGCAAGGGCACACGGGGAGCTCCAATTTTTAAATTACCAAACTGCTCAAATTAAAGAAAATAGGTACGCGAAGACCACAAGGTAAAGAGAAACAGGAAATTGCCCAAGAAAATAAGCAATGGGTAAATTGAATCAACGGTAATTAGCTTAGGCGCTGCCGCAGAATGGACACGCACACACATACACATGATTGTCACTGCGGACGTGTTTGCGTGTAGTCTGTGTGTGTCTCAGTGAATTATGCATTTCTCTTTTTAGAAGCCTCTTAACAAAGAACAAGCACAGAGGCGTATTTTTTATTTTTTATTTTTTTTTGTACCATGAAACTATTGTGTGTTCCCGTGAATTTATAACTAGTCTTAAAATAATACCATTGTATATTTTTTAAATGAATAACAAAGGAAACCCTATACGGTTGAATATGGGACTTTTGCTCTCTCTCTCTTTCTGTCCTCTCGGTCTTTATTAAACGGCGGCCCGTCGCTCATTAAATCCAGCCCACATTTTCAGATTTCCTGCGTAGAGACGTTCTCTAATCGCGCTTTGTCATCGCCTTGATAAAAAGCTAGTTCATCATCATTGCCGCCGTCGTCGTCGTCGTCATCATCATCATCATCATCATCATCATCATCATCAATATCCATAACTTAGCTGGCTGGATGGCCGGCTGCCTTGCTGGCCTTTCTACTACATACGTTCACATCCTTAGATGAGTCCGTCGGAAACCTGTTTGCATTATTAAGTAACCGCTCAGCTCGGCTCGGCTCGACTCAGCTTAGCCGAGTTGAAAGAGCCAACCGGTTCGATCCAGGGGCTTCCTGTAATGCGCATTCTAAAGAAGAATCACACAAAGAACACAGACAAAAACAAAAAACCAAAGAGAGTGGAAAAAAAATGCATGAAACTTTCGTTTTTTATTTTCACGAGCCTCGACGATTGAGGCTGTTGTTCTTGTTCTTGTTGCTCTTGTATTTTTCTTGTTCTCTATTGCTGTCTCCCTCTCGCTCTTTGCTCTCTCGGTCTTTCGCTGTCTGCTGCTTGCCTGGGCCACGCTTGTTAATTCGAAATAAAAACAGGAAAATTTACTTTACAATCTGTGCTAAAATCGTAAATTTTTAGCTGGCACCGAGCAACGGCCAACGGCCAACGGGCAACGGGCACCGACACTCAGGGGAGCGGCTCAGACGCCGCTGTGCTCGCTCGTCCGCCCTGGGCCAGGTAAGCTAATCCGCTTGCCATGGTCATATGCCGATGACTCGCCTATTTGTTCTCAACTCTGCGCTGTTATTGCTGTCGCAGTGGTTGTTGTTGTTGTTGTTGCTGGGTTTTGTTTGCCTTTCCACGTATTCTGGGCTTGGGCTCATGCCTAGTTTCTTAGTCTGTTATCTTTTCTTATTTAATTTTTGTCGATTTTTTGTTTTTTTTTTTTTTTTTTTTGCTGCCATTGCGCCTTCTAATCTTTCCAGCAATATCATCACGCGCTCTTTAATTCCAGAGCCGTTCTCTTTTGCCGTTGCCAAGCTTTTTGGTATTCAGCGCTGCCTTTCCAACAACAGCTACAATAACTACAACAACTGCTGGGCAATTTGCCCTCTCTGTTCTTCCATTCTCTTCGCTGAGCTTAAACCGTTGATTGATGCGTTTCCCATTCGGAATTTATGCCATGGACTATTTGGGCGAGCGCTAAGCAATTCATTTTTCAAGGCGCACAAACACACACACATACGCTGATACACTAACACACACATGCGCTCCCATCCCCTCCAGCTGGGCAATCAGCAGCAGAGATCGAAGCGTGCGATACTCAGGAAACAGCGACAACAACAACAACAGCTGCAATCTTGAAGAGCTGGAAAGCGAAGCACTACTTGAGCACTCCAGTTGGAGGAGATCGCGTTCGTCTCGGACACGACGTCGAATGCATCTAAATTGCTAAATACCTTTTTATGGTTAGTGCTGTTCCACCTTTCCCCCTCCAGTTGCCAGTTGCCTGTTGACTGCTGCCTGCATCAATTTAACATTTTAAAAATGTATCTTTGTATCTTTGTGGTGTGGGCTTCGCCGAAGCAGAGTTGCCTGCCTATGTATATATGTATATATGTATATACGTATACAACTATAATGTATTGTATATACTTTAGTCCAGAGTCCGACAGCTCCTTACTGATTCATCATGGCCATTTTTGTGGACTGCTGATTGCTGGGCGCACATTGGCATCTTTTTAATAGCCCCCACAGGCCCATCGGGAATTATTCATTTTCATTGTATTCCGCATTCGGTCGCTCTCGAGTTGTAAACAATTTCAATTATTTCAGTCCTGTGTGTTTTTTTCAATATATATGTACATATATATATTTTTTATTTGCTTCAACTTATGCAACTAATTGTCAGGCATTCGAGCCATTTGGCTGCCAAAAACGAGTTCCACTCCGCACTAGGCTCAGCCCTTCCATTGGCAGCTGTCAAATGCATAATTAAACTGACCTTCGACGAGCCAATTGAAGGGACTCTCTCCCTCTCTCTCTCTTGCTCCCTTTTCTCCCTGCAAATTGCAGTTATAATACTACATAATATCAACCCGAATTTTTTATTTTTTCTACAGTTTTTTTTTTTTTGGTTTTTGTTTTATTGCAAACGCTATTAAACGAATTCCCTTGAAATACTTTTGAAAACAAACCGTTGCCTGGAATGTCGCTCGGTTACCCTTTGCTCTAATAAAAAAAAACCGACCCTGACTGACAAAAATTATAGACATAGCATAGCGTTGCTTATTTGAGGAATGTTTCCCGCTGTTGTTGTTTGTATTCGAATAATTATATAGGAAACAAAAAATGAAGATAATACGCCGCACTACTGAATGATATATTAGACTCCAGAGAGGAGCTCCTTTGATGGAACTCATAATAATACAAGCGGCAGACGAGCTGATGGCTCATCATTTAATCACCCTTTCTTTGAACAACTCTCGAGGCCGGGACACTCCCTCCCTAGAAGAAGATCAACTGCACGCACAGCTGAGGTGCGCTGAGCTGAG